ACATCATCTATGAAGCCGAGGAAGGCCATATAGCAGATGCAGGCGAGGGCTGCATTGTGCTCGAGCAACCCCTGGAGAGGAAAGGAAGGGAGAATAAGTGAGAGCAGGAGGGTGAGAGGGTGGACAGGCAGCCAGGGGATGTCGAGCACATCGTCTATGAAGCCGAGGAAGGCCATATAGCAGATGCAGGCGAGGGCTGCATTGTGCTCGAGCAACCACTGGAGAGGAGCGGAAGGGGGAATAAGTGAGAGCAGGAGGGTGAGTGGGTGGACAGGTTGGGGATGTCGAGCACAGGCTGGGTTACTTGCACTCCACTCACCGCTGAAATTACCAGAATGGACGACGGCCTATCATATTGATGCCGCGCACCGTCCCAGCAGATCACGATGCAATCAACAGATATCCAACTTCCACTTGCCCCTTTCCCCACCTCCTCCCTCCTTACCTCCCCCTCCCCACCTCCCCCCTCCCTACCCGCTCCCCCCAACCTTTCTCATCCACCGACCTTCACTAAAATGGGAGTGCATGAACTAGCTGAGACTTCCGATGAAAACGATCGCATACTTGCACTCCATTCACATTACCATCACATTCGGAAACGATCCTCCTTGACACAACTACACCACATACCAACATCGCTGGTGGCCTTTCGTTATACTCCATCTTTATTTCTCCAGCCGGGAACCTCGCTTGTTTATGTCGTATCCGAACATGTTTCTCCGCAGCATACAAGGCACCGCCATCGGAATCAGCTTCGTCGTTACAACGAATCCTGCGAAGCTCATAACGGCGTTTATTGTAGTAGACCTTCGTTCTAACGGATCGAGCTCCATCACGACAAACGCCGCTATAACGAGAGTCAGGACGCACGCCACGAATATCCCCACGCGGACGCGCCGCGACCATCTGTTCAGCGGCGGTGCGATGGTTTGCCATCAGCGACGGCGGAAGCATCGCCTGGTTTGCCATCAGCGACGGTTTTCGAGTCATATGCCGTCGCGACGCTTTGCTTTGGTCTCCGTGCTTGTGCTTGGCTGCGAGCCATCACGCGGCTCCAACAGCAAGGCCGTCGCGCTCAAGCTGCGGCTTTGAACTGATGTCCAAGGCTCGCAGATTAGCGGCTAAGCAGAGACTGGAGTGTGAGCTTGGGAAGCCGAGAACGTGTCAAAACATTGTATGCATTCTATCTCTCTAGGTTGTGTAGGGGTTATCCTTAGAGGGTCCAACCCATTTCTCGACACTCTTGTACCCCCCCGCCCCCTCCCCCCCCCCTGATTACCTAATCCATCATACCACTTCTCGCTAGTTTCTAACATAACGTGGGCGATTAGACGGAGAGATGACGGGACAAGTTACACAATCAGGCTACTTAACAACTCTAAGCAAAGGCAAGGGATGCAGCAGTTTTCGTGGTCGAGCGAGCTAGAGACATTTGAGGTAAAAATGAGATTGGTTGAGAAGCTTGAGCCATGGTAGTCGAAGCTTGTATTGCAAGAAGCACTTTTTGAAAAGGCTACCAACGGGATCGTCCGTCAACAAAAAAACATTGATTATAGATTCTTGTCCATCCGTTATTGGCCTCTCCGCTTTTCTAGTTTACCCCTTGTACGGTGTACACCGACCAAGATCGGTCTAACAGGTCAAAGCATATTCAACATCTTGATTGCATGAAACATCAGGTTCAGGTTCAGTTCAAAATAAGCTGAGTATCGCACCGGTAAATTGTTCCAATCATTCCAGTAAACCCCTATCGGTACATTCAAAGTTAGAGATCTTGTCGAGGATGGCTTCGGCAGTACTACCTAGGAGCCATGCATGCTGCAACCGCAAGCAGAGCGCCACTGATTCAGTTCTCGTTCCGTCCCTCGCGTCGCTCATGTCAGAACAACACAATGTCAGCAGCCAGCTCCTTTCATACAACATGAAAACTTCAGCGGTTCCTAATATGGACGAGGAATCAACCATTCGTACTTTTCCTCATTGTGGTTTGTGTGCGCATATAGTAGTGATACGCGAGCAGGTACGCAGCAGGATCGTCAGAGGATGGGCAAGTTTGGAGTGTGGATTTTAGCCTTGGGGGGAGGCGTATTGACCCTCCTTTATCTGCTTCCGTGGGCGTACATCGCCCTTGACCTTCTTGGGAATTGCCGCGATGCGCCGCGTACAGTGCAAGAGGTATTCCATTTGCCAGATGCCTCATCGTAAGAGGAACTGAGGAGTTTTCTGAGTTGATAATGTTTCATTGGCTGTTCGGAGAAGGATCCCAAATCAGCGAAACCCATTTCCCTCTGCGTGCTTCTCCCGACTGCAGCCCTCCATCTCGTTTGAAGAGATCGTCAGCCAAGGCACGTCCGATAAGCGCACGCATCACTACGGTGCTTTCTACAGCCTCTATCTCGACCCGCTGCGCCTGCCGCGGCCATCTTATGACACCAAAACCATCAGAAGATCACGCGGGCGGAAGCAAAAGGAATCGGCGTGGGAGATTCCCGAGGTGAACATGCTGGAGATCGGGCTCAAGTACGGCGACTCGCTGAAGCTGTGGAAGCGGGCGTTTCCTAGAGGCAGAATCTACGGCATCGACAACGGAGTAATTTCCAAGGTGAAGGTCTCTGTGTTTGAGAACAAAATTGACTAAAATCCGAGCATCTCCGTTGTAGTCTAGTCGGTTAGGATATTCGGCTCTCACCCGAAAGACCCGGGTTCAAGTCCCGGCAACGGAATTTTGTTACTTCTGCGGACAACCATCCCATTCCCTTTGTTGTCTAGTGTCCATCCTGATGCTTCCCTCAGCAACACCAGGGAATATCACTTACTTGCTGCCCTCAACCGTCGAGTGCGGCTGATAGCTTACCTTCCCCACCTCCTTTGCCCCCTCCCTCTTTTTGAATACCTCACGACCCTCTTCTCTCCCTGTCCCTGTCCATCCCACACCCATCCCTCGCCTGTACTTCTCCCACCCCCATCTCCTCTCGTTTTTGTGTCTGTCCAATGCGCACGTCACATCCCTCGCCTGTGCTTGTCTGTCTCATGCCCATCCCAATCCTTTTCGCCTTTCGTCTCCAAGTACCAGGCATTGGCGCAGACCCGCAGCCGCAGGTGATAAGATGATTTTTGAGTTGACTAAAAACCCGTCTCCGAGTGCCATGCAGAAGCGCAGACCCGCAGGTGTAGCTGATGGTGTCGCCGCCCCACATCCTGAGTCCAGTCCATGTTTGTCCCATGTTCCATCTCATGCCCAACCCCCATCTATACGCCTCTGCTTCCTCAGAAGCACCATGCAGAGGCGCGGGACTCGCGGGTGTGTCTCTTCCCTGCCTCCTCGCCCTGTTCATCACACACCCATGCCCCATCCACTTTGTCTCTCATGGATGCAGAAGCACCAGGCGGAGGCGAGGGACCCGCAGGTGCGGCTGATGGTGGGTCTCGTCCCCACCTCCTTTGGTCCGTCCATGATTATTACTTCTTTCTCTCTCCTCCCTCTCATCCCCACAGAAGCACCAGGCGGAGGCGAGGGACCCGCGGGTGCGGCTGATGGTGGGCAACCAGGCGAATGGGACGTTCCTGGAGCAAGTGGTGGCTGAGATAAAGAGTGCGGTGAGGAGTGGTGGCTGAGATAAAGAGTGCTGTCAGGAGCGGTGGTGAGATAAAGTGTGTGGTGAGGAGTGGTGGCTGAGATAAAGTGTGCGGTGAGTAGTGGTGGCTGAAATGAATAGAGCGGTGAGAAGTGGTGCGAGAGATAAAGAATGTGGTGAGGATTGGTGGTGGCTGAGATAAGAGTGCGGTGAGGAGTGGTGCCTGAGGTAAAGGGTATGGTGAGGAATGGTGGCTGAAATAATAGTGTAGTGAGGAGTGTATGTATGGGGAAAGCGTGCGGTGGGTAGTGGTGGCTGAGAAAATGAGCGCAGTGAGGAGTGGTGACTGAGAAATGGAGAGTCGTGAGGATGGATGGCTGCCATAAAGAGAGGAGGTGTGATAGAATGGTGAGATGCAGTTTCTAGGTGGCATGGTCGGCAAGGGGATGGATTTGCATATCATGGGGTGGTGAAGATGGCACTGATGGTTATGTTGGTTAGAAAATGTATGGTATGCATGGCATGGTGCATCGCATGGTGTATGGTATGGTGAATGGCATGGTGCAAGGGATGGTGCATGGTATGGTGCATGGTATGGTGCATGGCATGGTGCATGGTATGGTCTGCATAGCATATTGTGCATGACATGGTGTGCATGTGCTACGTGATTGCCCTATAATGTTAGTCATTTCATTCTGCTTTTCTTGGGTATCCTTGTCCTCATTACTGTGTTGTGACTCGTTTTATGTTATTGCATTGACTCATATCTGATTTTTGTCTTGTGACTCGTTTCAGGTGGGTCTGCTTGACTTCATAGTGGACGATGGTGGTCACACCATGGATCAGCAACAGACATCCCTCAAACACCTCCTTCCTCTTGTCAAGGTACCTTAGAAAATACCTTCATTCACTGATAGTAACTAAGCTTACCTGCAACCACTACCCGTTTTCTCCTGCCATTCATAAACGTATTACTTTTTTTATTATTTTCCTCTACCATCTTGCCTGCAACATATACCCTTGTTTCTGTCCTCTGCAGTTTTTACAAATGTACCATATCCATTCTCCTCCTGGTTCCCTCTACCAGAGCCTTTCCCTCATATCGTTGCAATCTTCTCCCATACATTCCTCTTCCTGCATGGGAGGACGGACGTGTCGCAGCAGGGATGCTGAAACAGAAAGAGGGCACCTTTCTCATCCCCACCTCATTTCGCCCCACGTCCTTTTCAAGCTTCCTTCTCGTTCCCATGTCAATTCCCCTCCCTTTGCCTCCCATCCTTCATCGAATCTTATCAGCCTGGAGGGACGTACTTTATCGAGGATGTGGAGACGTCGTACTACACCAAGTGCCACGTTACAGGGTGTTACAGGGGCGGTCCTCCTGGCTTGAACACTACAACTATACACATAATGAAAGAGCTCATAGATGTGATGAATAAGGAGTTCTTTCAGAAGCAGGCGTACTACCGGAATGTAACACGTCCGGGGTTTTATGCATCTCCAGTCGAAGAGTTGGTGGGAGCAGTACACTGCATGCGCAATATCTGCGCTCTTAGGCGTAGATCTAGTCACTGGTTCTAGTAGTTTGAGGTGCAGGATATAACGACCTGGTACACTGAATACTTGCTTTGTTTCACTACAATACCTCTCCTGTCTGCATTACAGTGCCAGGTGAATAAGCCAATTGCAGTTGTAACAAGTAAAAATCTGGTAAGTACAAAACTGGTCTACATACATTCGTATCCAGATACTGTAACTAACCAAGTAGAGGTGTCAACTCACTAGACTAAAATATCCTGCTTGTGCTAATACCAAGGACTAGATTTCCGTCTAAGCGCACAAATGTTCCTCATGCAGTGTACTGTGCCCACCAAATCCTCCACAGGAGTAGTGTAAAATTCCTCACTTGCGGCCCTCTTGATATAAGCCTGCTTCTCGATATAGTCACGGTTTACCACGTCCATTAGCTTCTTGAGAACATGTATCGTTGTGGTGTTGAGACCAGGGGGGCCACCTTCGTAGCACCCTGTAATGTGGCATTTGGTGTAGTACGATGTCTCCAGATCCTCTATAAAATAAATTCCACCAGGCTGGGTAAAAACAATGGGGGAGTAGGAGAGTCGGAAGGAGGGAGGGAAGTGGTAAACAAAAGTCAGACCCCAGAAATTATTATAACCAGAAAGACCGTGCCTTTATGAGAGAACAAGAAGGTGGAGCATGGAGGGGTGGGAGTGGGGGGGGGGTGGAGGAGAGTGGCGGGAGCGGGAGGACGGATGGAAGAGGGGAAACGGAGCGACGGCGGAGGGAAGCGGGAGAAAATGGGGAGGGCTGAGAGGAGTCATGCGGAAGTTGGGCAGACAGGGAGGAGGAGAAGAACGAGAGAGGGATTGCAGGGGAAGCAAGGCTGGAGGGAGAGAGGAGTTGAGAAGTGAAAGAGACACGAGGACGAGGGGAGGAGGAGAAGGAAGGAGAACCAAAGTTGCAACTTGAAGATGGGCAATCAAAGTACGACACAGGAGTGGTATGCATGTGTTGAGTAACAGCCAGATAAACCAAAACCAGAAGCACGGAATACCCTGATTAGCAGCAAAAATATTTTGGAGTCGACTCAAAAGTCACCCCAAAACTAGAGGCACAAAATACCTTGACAAGTGGTAGGAGGTGTTTGAGGGATGTCTGTTGCTGATCCATGGTGTGACCACCATCATCCACTATGAAGTCAAGCAGACCCACCTGACACGAGTCACAGCACAGTAATAAGAAGGGAGTTGATACAATGACAAGGAAAGAGTCACAACACAGTAATAAGAAGGGGGTTGATACAATGACAAGGAAAGAGTCACAACACAATAACGAGGACAGGGGTAGCCCAAGTAAGAGAAAGAGTTCAAAAGATAGTATTTCAAACGCATGCCCTTCCACTGCCATCATTACGCATGCCATTCCACTGCCATTCAAACGCATGCCATTCCACTGCCATTCAAACGCATGCCCTTCCACTGCCATTCAAACGCATGCCATTCCACTGCCATTCAAATGCATACCATTCCACTGCCATTCAGACGCATGCCATTCCACTGTCATCATGACGCATGCCATTCCACTGCCATTCATTCCATGCCCTTCCACTGCCATTCAAATAGACTCCTTCCTATGCCACTGCTTCATTATATCTGCGTGAATCTGACTTACATAGCAGTATCACACAATTTTCCACCAGCACACACATACGGCTTATCCCATCATTTCACCCCATCCCATCCCAACCCATTCCCTCCCATCCCATCCCATCCCATCCCATCCCATCCCATCCCACCCCATCCCTTCCCTTTCCCTTCTCTTCCCTTCCCTTTCCTTTCCTTAACTTCCCTTCCCATCCCATCCCACCCACACAGCCCAACCCATCCCATCCCATACCGTCCCATCCCCTCTCTTCCCCTCCCCTCCCAACCCAAGTGATCCCATCCCATCCCACCTCTAGTTTAAGCCCAACCCTCGCCATGCAACACCACACCACATCACACTCAACATCGTCTTACCGCATCAGGCATCACTGAATGCTTTATCCCCAGCCACCACTCCTCACAGCACTCTTCACCCCAGCCACCACTCCTCACCACACTAAATATCTCAGCCACCACTCCTCTTTATCTCTGCCACCACTCTTCACCGCACTCTTTATCTCAGCCACCACTCCTCACCGCACTCTTTATCTCGGCCACCACTTGCTCCAGGAACGTCCCATTCGCCTGGTCGCCCACCATCAGCCGCACCCGCGGGTCCCTCGCCTCCGCCTGGTGCTTCTGCGGAGACGAGCGGCGAAGCGAAGAGAACAGGGGATGGGTTTGGGACAGACATGGACAGGTGAGGGATGGGTGGTGTGGGATAAACATGGTCAAGAGAGAGGGAAGAGACACCATCATTTCATGGTCGATCCCGCACATCCTGCCTCTCGTAAACGCTCTCTTCAACAGCTTTGGCGAGTCGCCGTATTTGAGCCCGATCTCCAGCATGTTCACCTCGGGACCTCGGGACTCTCGAGACCCTCGGGTACCTTGGGAACCTCGGGACCTTGAAAACCTCGGGCTTACCTTGGAGATCATCTCATTGTCACCTCGGAAACCTCCCACGTCGACTCGGGACCCTTGAAACCCTCGGGCTTACCTACCTGGGGTCCCTCGGGCTTACCTACCTGGGGTCCCTCGGGCGTACCTTGGAGATCATCTCATTGCCAATGCCATAAATCCTGCCTTTTGAAATCGCTCTCTTCTAAAATGCTCACCTCGCGACCCTCAGTCAGACGGGACCCTCGGATGGGACCTTCGGGATCCCCGGGCTTGCCTATCTTGGGACCCTCGGGCTTACCTTGGAAATCATCTCGTTGTCAATCCCGTAGATTCTGCACGCCCGCTTCCACAGCTTGAGCGAGTCGCCGTATTTGAGCCCGATCTCCAGCATGCTCACTGCGCGAACCTCAAAACCCTCAAACTTACCCTAGGAACCCCGGTGCTTACCTTGGAGATCATCTCATTGTCAATGCCATATATCCTGCCCCTCGGGAACGCCCGCTTCCACAGCTTGAGCGAGTCGCCGTATTTGAGCCCGATCTCCAGCATGTTCACCGCGCGCGGCTCCCACGGCTGCTGCTCCTGCGAGTCTTGCGTGTTCTGTGTGTACTGAGAGTGGTCATCTTCGCCTGGCTGGGGCTGCTGGCAGTTGGCGGGGGTTTCGGGCTGCAGCGGCAGGCGGAGCGGGTCGAGATAGAGGCTGTAGAAGGCGCCGTAGTGATGCGTGCGCTTATCGGACGTGCCTTGGTTGACGATCGCTTCGAACGAGATGAAGCCGGCCTGCCAGGGAAACGCGTGAATATCACGGAGAAGGAGATACGCATAAAGAGTTTGTAACATGAATATTGAGTTGTTACAGAGAATGGTGATTAAAGAATCATGTGGAAAAAAACAGGTAGGGGCGATTAACTAGGAACGCAGGCCAGTATTACTGCTACTAGGAATGAGGGGGACAATATAGATTGGCTGCGACTACGTGAGACATTGAGAGATCTTAAGGCACATAAGAGTTAACGCCGCTTTTCTCGAGGCGCCTCAAAAGGATTTATGGGGTTTTTTAGGAGCCTGAAGAAAACTAATCGAGAGACCCCCAGGTACATTTGAGTTATCGCCGCGCTGGTTAAGGCCGGACTGCACAACAAAATAATTAGCAGCCTGTTAGTGACGCAGTATTAAAGCTCTGCTCGCGAACGATATTTATAACGGATCGTCAGTACGACTGGTGTATCACATTGCTACCTCTGATGTGTCGCTGCAGTTCTGGATAAGCTTATACGCGATATACGCCCACGGGAGGAGGTAGACAACGAACAGGACGCCTCTTTGCGGCATAGCAGATTTCCAGTCGACACCCTTCCCCATCCTCCCGACCGCGGCCTTCTGCTGCAGCTGGGGTTTGCGACCTCGTTCGTGAATGTATCAGACTGCGGGATTCCCGCCTATTGCGCACACAGGACTATGAATGACGCGCTGTCTGAATCCGTTGAGGATGGTTCTACGTTGCACCCACTCCGAGCCGTCACATACTCCTAGGAGCGCGGACCAAGTACGTCTGCTTTCGACAGAAAGACGGAATTTCAAGGGTGTGTGGGTATGTGTGAGTGAGCGCGTGACTGGAAAAGGTTAGTTCAGAATCAAGGGGCTCCCCTAGAGGCACTCTATGCACTGTGTTATGTACAGTACCAGCGACTGTGCCAGATTTGTCCTCGATAAAACCCCGACAGCGCAATAGGCACTGGTGTGCAGAACACTTCGAGACCTCAGGACATCAAACATGCCTAAAGAATACCAAACGGCTCCTTGATTCTTGATGTTCCAGTGTTTTGACTACATCTGCAAGCCGATATTGGGAGAAAATGAGAAGCAGAAATATGTTTCCTACTCTAACCAAGCACATTCTAGTTGGTGTTGCTAATACCAGTGGCTAGTCTTCCGGCGAAGTGCACACATGTTCCTCATGCAGTGCACAGACCCCACTAATTTCTCCACCGGAGTTGCATAGAACTTCCCATGCGCCATGTTCTTGAAATACACCTGCTTCTCAAAAAACTCCTTGTTCATCGCGTCTAAGAGCGACTGCATAACGTGCATAGTGGTGTCCCCTTCAGGAATGCCTTCCGTATAAGACGTCTCCACATTTTCAATGAAGTAGGTTCCACCAGGCTGGAACAGCAAGATTGGTGGTGGGTGTATCAGGGATCGGAGGCAGGAGCGGAGGAAAGGAGGAGAGAAAAGAGAGTAAGAAAAGAAAGAAAGGCAGCAATATTGTAAGCAGGATCAAAACAGTATGGACAGAGGGCGTTGACATGAAGGGATGGAGGGAAAAGCAGTGTCAGCAGCAAAAGGTACCTTGACCAGAGGCAGCAGTACCTTGACAAGCGGAAGGAGGTGTTTGAGGGATGTCTGTTGCTGATCGATGGTGTGACTACCATCGTCCACTATGAAGTCAAGAAGGCCCACCTGTAACGAGTCACAACACAATAACAAGAAAGGAGGTTATACAACAACAATAAAGATGTCGACGTTACAAAAACACTGATCATAACAGGAATAACAGCAAGGACATTTTAGAAGACCAGCAGTAATCAAGTTTATACAGAGCTGGCATTGCAAGACACTGTCGAAAATTCATGCATGGCACACAGTAAAAAACACCTCATTTCCAAAAACACATTCATGATTACCCCACCTCACCCTGAACCACGCTGTACCATCCCACGTCGCTACCACTCCTCACCTCATTCTTAATATCAGAAACCGCTTTCTGCAAGAAATTCCCATTCGCCTGGTCGCCCACCATCAGCCGCACCCGCGGGTCCCTCGCCGCTGCCTGGAGCTGGGGTCACACAAACAAGGGTTCCAAACGAGAACTTTCAGGAACCAAAGAAAGAAAAAAGGCAAGAAATAAATAAATTGAGCAAACGAACAGCCACCAAGAAAACAAAAGAAAGAGTGGCCTTCCATTGCGCTGCCCAGCACTTTGACTACCAACGAATGAAACCCAACCCAGTCAGCACCAGCACTATGTAGCTGCAGCTTAGTCACATTCTCACCACCGATGAAATAAGGAGCACCCGAGCTCGCAAAGTGACAGGTACGTAAACGATGCACACACGACATTTTACAATCACTAAAAGTAACTATCCTTGGCACGGGAATGCCCGTGGTGACATTTGGGTCGACTTAAAAGTCACAGTGGACGTACCATCAAGGAGGAGGTGGTGTCATTTGCAATGCCGTAGATAACACCCCTCGGGAATGCCCGCTTCCACAGCTGCAGCGAGTCGCCGTACGCACGACCGACTGTCAGCAAGTTAACCTCCTGGTTTTCCCAGATTGGGATCCGATCGTCACCACGGGTTAGTTGCGGTCGGCGTAAGGGGTCGAGATACAGGCTGTAGAACGCGCCGTAGTGGCTCGCGCGTTTATCGGATGTGACATTGTCGAGGATTTGTTGGAAGGGAGTGATGGGCTGCAGCCGGGATAGGTACATCTGCAGGAGGAAGCGGGTGGACAGTTCAAACGGGATCTTACAGGTAGTTGTAGGAGTCTCATGGAAGTTCGCAAGCGACACTACTAGCGATGCTCACATCTGAAGATTGCACAATGCGGCATCAATGCGAACACACCTATTGTTTTGACAGTCCAGATTCGCAAGGACTGTAGCAAAAGGCTTGAAAACAGACAGCGTCGTGGATATATGTAGCACGAAGGCGTGCTACCCGGAAGAGACGTGCTGAAAATGCACGAGTTTTCATGATCTAGAACTAAATTCAGACCTCTTGCTCCGCGGATGGGCCATGGCGGCAGTTTCCGATGAAGTCAAAAGCGACGTACAACCAGGGAAGCACGGAGAGGATGACTAGGAAGCTTCCCTGCGGAGCGATATTCCAGGCATTGCTACTCTTCCGCATCATGCTCACTAATGTATCAGAGCGTGGCGGTGAACGCTCGAATAGATGTGTGTATGAAGACTGCTTAGTGGGCCCTAGAAATCCTCCAAATCTGAAATACCTATTTGCGTCTACTGTTGACTCTGCATGCCTTGCTGAATAACAGTACAGTTGCAGGACAGGAGATTCTCTTGGGAGCTACATTACTGTACCTTGGTCAAGCGCGGTCTGCACCGCTACGAGCTTCCTCGGGTTTTTGAGAAAGTCTGCTAACGGTACTACAGCTCAACATTGTTAAATCAGAATGCTTCTCAGGAGTTGTGTCCAGAACCCTACCCAAACGCAAAGAACTGTAAACACACCGCTCTGACATAGATAGCATCTCATTCCACCATAACCAATTGAGCTCAGGGCGGTCCAGCGCGTAAAATATTCGTACATTACAGTTCATCCAGTGCGGTAATCTGTATTTCGTCAAGGTTCAAAACGGTGCAATTTGATAACCGCTGTGCCCGCCTGATATCTTTTCTCACCTCGACGAATGAACTGTATAGGACCTGTAAACGTACGCGCTGGACACGCCCACTCACACAGCTCTGGTTGTTGGGGTTTTTATGGGGTGGGGCGGGTCATGGGTAGTTGGCAGGACCGTGGGTGGGTTGCAGGCCAGTCGTTTCGTTTTGGGCCCCCCGGACAAATCAGGGAGCCCGTCATTTATGACCCTGTATTTAGCAGGGCTGGGGCGAATCTCGGCCCTTTAGGTTTCAAGCATGGAAAATTGTCCTCCCTTGAATCAGGTTTGGCGCGGAAAATTCTGGACTGGAGCCTCATTTCAACTACCAAGCTTACAGCTACGTTTGAGATGAACCACAAGCAAGCATGCACGACATATAGAAAATTAGTTAGTGTCATATCACTACGCACGCTTTGCATGCTTCCTATCCTTTGCAGAACCGATGATCTTGCGCACTTCTACCCAACCTTAACCGTTCTCACTCCACAGAGAGCGAGTTGTGATTGGTTTAAGCACAATTTCCAGGTTGAGTTAAATTTGTGGCCCAACCAGGTTGGATGCAATCAGGCTAGAAACGAAGGGGAGAGGAGAGGGAGGAGTGTTGGGGGAGAGGGGGGGCTCGAAAGATTTTGTTCCAGGGCTCGCCTAAAATCTACCCTCTCCTTCCAGGCCTAAGCCCAAAATCAGCCCTGTAAAGAATCAGGGCCAGAATATTTCCAACTCATCAATTTCAGTTTCCAAGGGCAACCCAGCCCTGGAATTCAAGGTCCACTAGGGCAAACGCCCTTCAATCGACAGCCCTGGTGGGTTGGGATGGGATGGGCATGGGAGGGAGCGAGGGACTGGTTGTCCCTGTGCGACCTGGTGGTGGTTCGTTGTGTGACGTGTCGTGTCTGCTCTGCTGTTGTATGGATTGCGGCGGGGCAGAGTCAAGATGGTTCTCGAGATATATTCAGAACCTCGTGTCACCTGAAATACTCCTAGACACGATGCTGTACGTTTCTCCAAATGTTGCACGGCCCGATCTAGTTCCAGGAAGTGTTTCATGAATGATGACCCGAAGCTCCACGCTTCTTCTTTTAGCGCTCTCTCATTCATACACTAACGAGTCCTCGTGTCCCAGAAGCAGATTTTGGATAGGGGTGAATTGAGTTGGAATTTCGACTTAGTGGTTGTATTCGTTTTCACTTTGACTTTGAAAGGTTCATTCTGGTGCGAGATGGTCAAAAGCAGTGTACTCAAAATCGCTTTCAAACGTAATTGAATGTTTTGAACCGCGTCAAACCAATCGAAAATGACGAAGTATGGCTGGCCCTCACACACACAACCCACAGAGCGAGGAGGCCATGTAATGCTGACTCAATAGTTTGACGAACGCTGGAAGAAAAACGTCACGTTTCCTCCGAGTCCCTTTGGTGAGAGATTATCCTACCTGGTCCACTTTTCACCACGAGCTACGTGCCGCGACGCGTACCTTGGGGTTTTATCACACAGACGCGACTCGGACTCTAATAGTAGTAGACTTAGCGTAGACCGCGTGCTTTTGAGGCAGCGGCGATCACGGCGGTGACGGTGATGGTCAGTGTTGTCAAAGCCGCACAATGAGCTGTCAGAATCGCAAAAACCCGTGTTGTCAAGATCGTCCTACCTTGGGCGTTGCTCCCTCGGTCAACCATGAGCACCGCGCGAATGACGCCGCAACATGCGGCGCCAACGATCACGGCGCTGCTACCGCCGGCGGCGACTGTACCAGCAGCACGGTCCATCGAAGATTATTGGAAGACTCGTCAACGGATAGTCACGACTGCGTGTTAGATTCGATAAAACCGGCGCGGCCGGCAAAAGTCCCGGCAGTACCGCACTCTGAAGCCATGGCGGCAACGCAGTGGCAGTTTACTCAAGCTCCAAGCCTTTTCAATCCGGCGATGGTGTCTCAACTGCAAGATCCGCACTGGCAGGCAGTTGAATATCACTTTCACGCCGTCGTAGACGGTTTAAAGGGCTGCATATCGTCCTGCAAAGACTTGTTAAGAGACAAGCCCCTGTTCGGTGGCAGCGGCTCCTCCGCCGCATCCTTCGGCGGCGGCGGCGGCGGCGGCGGAGGCGGCGCGATCTCAGCGCCGTCGTCGCTGTCCGTGGCGTCGCTGCTGCACAGCCACTCGATCGTGCTGCTGCTGACGTGCGTCAGCATTCTAATGTCTGCCGTCAGCTTAGCACTCGTGCTCTCCCTTCCCCCGCCGCTTCACCAAGAAACCACTCTTAGCACCATCGATACAGAACCACTGCCGACCACGGGTAACACTGTTACAGGCAGTAACACTCTTACTGGTGGTAACGCTCATACTGCATTTCTCCCGCAAGACCTTTCCCGGGGCCCGTTACTGTTAGGATCGAGGCAATCCGGTGCGTCAGCAAATGCCGTCGTGGACGCAGGTTCCGTTAGTAGCAGCTTCGGTAATAGCAGCAATGCGCAAGTCGGTGTTACGAGCAGCAGCAGAAACGATACTACTAGTAATACCTCAAGCGGAAGCAGTATCACCGGCAGGAGCAGCAACAGCAGCGGCGGTAGAAGTAGCGGGGCCGAGGGGGGCGCCAGTGGCAGAGCCAATGCAGGAGGGATTAACGGAAACAGTCAACACCCGTCAGAGGCTTCGGCTGTAGCCGTCAGTGACAGTCAACAGCTGTCAGAGGCTTCGGCTGTAGCCGTGCTCATGGCACAACCTACTTCGCCGCATCCCCTGCAGCCAGCAGCAGCAGCGCCTGTCGGTGACACTGCGGATGTAGCAGCAACAGGAGAATCAGTAACAGTAGGAGAAGCAGGAGCAGGGGGGGAAACAGCAACAGGAGGAGAACAAGCAGCAGGGGGTGAAGCAGAAACAGCAGGAGAATTGGCAACAGGAGGAGAAACAGCAACAGGAGGAGAGGCAGCAACAGGAGGAGAAACAGCAGCAGCAGGAGAAACAGCAACAGCAACAGGCGGAGAAGAAACAGCAGCAGGTGCTGCAGGCGCAGCAGAAGCAACCTCGGCAGAAGAGGAGGCAAGCTGGGATGGTGCGCAGGCCATCGTTCATATCAAGGTGTGAGTTGATCAAATACGTGTGTGCGGGTGCGTGCACGCAAGTTCAAAGCGTGTGTGTGTGTGTGCGCGCGCGCGTGTGTGTGTGTGCTGCCCCCTCCCCAGTAACCCCACGCTCCTGTTCTCTCTCCCCAACCTTCTGTCCTACAGACGTCCGTCCTCCCTGTACCCCTGCAGCGTCTGTGCCAGGCCAGCGCCCTATCCACCCTGCACAACATCCCTCTACCCGTATCCTGTGGCACCTGCGCGTGTGCACACTCACTCTCCCCTTTCCGCATTTTTCTCCCCGAAACCCTCTGCCTACCTACAGACGTCCGTGCTGCCGTTAGCTCTACTGCGCCTGTGCCAGGCCAGCGCCCTATCCACCCTGCACAACACCCTCCCCACGCCCCAACCCCCTGCCCTACAGACGTCCGTGCTCCCTCTAGCCCTGCAACGGAGGCCAGCGCCCTATCCATCCTGCACAACATCACCATGGGTGTGCTGCAACATCACCATGGGTGTGCTGCAACATCACCATGGGTGTGCTGCAACATCACCATGGGTGTGCTGCAACATCACCATGGGTGTGCTGCAACATCACCATGGGTGTGCTGCAACATCACCATGGGTGTGCTGCAACATCACCATGGGTGTGCTGCAACATCACCATGGGTGTGCTGCAACATCACTGTGGCACCTGCGCCCGCCCACCCTCCCTATCCCGCCTTTCTCTCCCCTCAACCCCCCATCTACCTACAGACGTCCGTGCTCCCCTTGGCTCTGCAGCGCCTGTGCCAAGCCAGCGCCCTATCCACCCTGCACAACATCACCGTGGGGGTGCTGTGGCACCTGCGCCCACACACCCTCCCTTTTCCGTCTTCCTCTTATCCCAACCCCCTACTTACAGACGTCCGTGCTGCCTCTAGCCCTGCAACGTCTGTGCCAGGCGAGCGCCCTATCCACCCTCCACAACACCACAGTGGGTGTGCTGTGGCACCTGCGCCCGCACACACCCCCTCCTGCCTCTCGCGAAGCGGCCACAGCCACAGAAACCCCCCCGCCCTTGCCCTTCTCGGCGCTGCTGGTGCCGCCGCAGGGGGTGGCAGTGCGTGTGTCGCTGCCTGCAGGGGTGGTGGCAGAGGGGAAGCGATTGCAGGTGCAGCAGGCAGATAGGACGGAAGACTTTGGTATTGCACCGGTGAGTTTTGTTTGTTCCGAGCTGCTTTGAGCTGCACTAGGCATGGAGACGACTTTTCAATTCCGTATGTGTGGAGAGTTTGAGCTGAGTGGCTTTAAGCATCGAGAGATTGTGTAACAACTCATCGGTGTGTATGTGTGAAGAGTGTGTGTTTCTTTTCACTGTAGCAGCATCATGCATTGATGTGTTGGCTGCATTCATGTGTCGCTTGCGCTGGCGTGTAACATGGTGACGTGGCATGCTGCTATTGGCTTGGCAGGTGAAGCGCAAGTGTGGGGAGAGGGAGGAGGAGGAATGGAGCCCTCTGATGCTGCCCATGGAGGTCTATGTGCCCCGCTCTCTTGCCCGCGCCATGGTGAGTAAGTAGTAGCGTGAGTGGCTGTTGCATAAGGAGGAGGAGCAGGAGCAGGAGCAGGAGCAGGAGGAGAGGATTAGTCTGATGCTGCTCATGGAGGTCTATGCCCCCCGCTCTCTCGCCCGCGCCATGGTGAGTAAGTAGTAGCGTGAGTGGCTGTTGCATAAGGAGGAGGAGGAGCAGGAGCAGGAGCAGGAGCAGGAGGAGAGGATTAGTCTGATGCTGCTCATGGAGGTCTATGCCCCCCGCTCTCTCGCCCTCGCCATGGTGAGTAAGTAGTAGCGTGAGTGGCTGTTGCATAAGGAGGAGCAGGAGCAGGAGTGGAGCCCTCTGATGCTGCTCATGGTCCATGCCCCCTGCTCTCTCGCCCGCGCCATGGTGAGTAAGAAGTAGCATGAGTGGCTGTTGCATAAGGAGGAGGAGGAGGAGGAGGAGGAGGAGGAGGAGGAGGAGGAGGAGGAGGAGGAGGAGGAGGAGGAGGAGGAGGAGGAGGAGGAGGAGGAGGAGGAGGAGGAGGAGGAGGAGCGGGAGGAGGAGGAGGAGGAGGAGGAGGAGGAGGAGGAGCAGGAGCAGGAGCAGGAGGAGTGGAGCCCTCTGATGCTGCTCATGGAGGTCTATGCCCCCCGCTCTCTCGCCCATGCCGTGCCATGGTGAGTAGCAGAGGCATGATTTCTCTTTAGTCGACTCAAAAGCAGGAGGAGGCCTTTGAGTCGACTCAAAAGCAGGAGGAGGCCTTTGAGTCGACTCGAAAGCAGGACGAGTGGAGCCCTCTGATGCTGCTCATGGTGGTCTATGCCCCCTGCTCTCTTGCCCGTGCCATGGTCAGTGGTACTTGCCATCTATGTCTCGTACATAGGTCTGTGATGAGTCTATTTTTTAGTCGACTCAAGTCTGCTTTTGAGTCGATTCAAAAGCTTCTTTTGAGTCGATTCAAAAGCTTCTTTTGAGTCGATTCAAAAGCTTCTTTTGAGTCGATTCAAAAGCTTCTTTTGAGTCGATTCAAAAGTGGTACCTGCGATCTATGTCTCGTACGTGCATAGGTCTGTGGCGAGTCTATTTTTGAGTCGACTCAAAGATAGACCTACTTGAGACCTATGTTTCATACCTAGGTCTGTGTCCCCTTCTATCTACTCTATCCCACTTCCCTGTATTCCTCTGTGCATCACTCTCTTTCTCTCTCCCGCTCCTCCCTTTATCCCTCCCTCTTCCCAAGGCATGGCTGTACGACGAGACCATGAGGTGCTATCTGTCGCTGCACCCATCAGCAGCAGTGCCCTCTGTGCGTTCCTCTCTCCTTCCTCTCCCCACCCTCTCTCCCTCCACGCATCCACTGGCCCATGTCGGCTGTACGACGAGACCATGAGGTGCTGTCAGTCGCTGCAGCCATCAGCAGCAGTGCCCTTACTCTCCAACCAATCCCACCTCCCTCTGTCCCACTCTCCCTCCATCCCTCTCTCCCTCCAGGCATTCACCGGCCCTTGCCGGCTGTATAACGAGACCATGAGGTGCTATCAGTCGCTACAGCAGAACCACTAAGCTCCCCTCTATCCCCTTCGCCCTCTCTCCTTCCTCTCCCCACCCTCTCTCCCTCCAGGCATCCACTGGTCCATGCCGGCTGTACGACGAGACCATGAGGTGCTATCAGGCGCTGCAGCCGTCAGCAGCGGTGCAAGCGATGGTGGATGGAGAGGATGTGGGGCGAGTGAGGGGCACAACGGGAGTGCTGCTGGAGGTGAGTCTGCTGGGGTGGGGGTGAGGGAGGAGAATGGTGGCACGTGGTATGGCACAAGCACACGTAGCTGCTGCAGCCGGCAGCAGCAGTGCAGGGGATGGTGGATGGGGAGGATGTGGGGCGAGTGAGGGGCACAACGGGAGTGCTGCTGGAGGTGACGGAGGGGTAGGGCATGGGGGGGTGGTGGGGCATGGAGGGAAATGGTGTTGATGGTCGGGCATGGTATGGATGGTGGTACAAGGAGGGGAATGGATGGTGGTACAAGGAGGAGAATGGATGGTGGTACAAGGGGGAAATGACAGCACATGGTGAGGATAGAGGATGGGGAGGATGTGGGTCGAGTGAGAATCTCTCCACATGATTTTTGGGGCACCTCAGCCATTTTGGAGGCACCTCATCGATTTTTGAGGCGCCTCAAAGGCGGGGAGTATGTGGGTCGAGTGAGAATCCCCCCACATGCCTCATCCACAATCTCCGTCTTCCTCCTCCACCATTCCCCCATCTGAGTTACATCCTCCTCCCACACAACCCCCCCCCCCCCCCCCATCAGGACCCCAAGGCTTCTGGAGCCACCGCTGCTGCCTCATCTGCAATCTCACTACCCTCTTCCTCCCTGCTCCCTCTCCTATCTCCCTCCCACTTCCCGGGCCCCCATACACTTCCCATCAGGACCCCAAGACTTCTGGAGCCGCCTCCGCCCCTCCCTGCCCCAACGCCAAGCTCCTCCCCACGTGCCTCATCCGCAATCTTACCTCCCTCATCCTCCGCCACCCCGCCCTCGACTTCACTCTCGCCGCCGCCTCCCCTCCCCTGCCCTCCCTCCCCTGCCCTCCCTCCCCTGCCCCCCCTCCCCTGCCCCCCCTCCCCTGTCCCCCCCTCCCCTGCCCGGCCCCATCAGGACCCCAAACAATCTGGAGCCACGGGTGCTGCCGCATCATGCCCCACCGCCAAGCTCCTCCCCACGTGCCTCCCTGCCTCCTTCTCTGCTCCCTTCCCTCTCTCCCCTCCGTTTCCTCTCGTATTCCTCACTTCAGGACCCCAAGGTTTCAGGAGCCACTGCTGCTGCTGCATCATGTCCCAACGCCAAGCTCCTCCCCACGTGCCTCATCCGCAATCTCACCTCCCTCTTCCTCCGCCACCCCGCCCTCGACTTCACTCTCGCAGCCGCCTCCTCTCCCCTGCCCGCCCGCTCCGTCGCCTCCGCCTTCCACCCCAACCGCGCGCCCCTGCTGCCCCTCGCTGCTGCATGGCGGGCGGAGCACTGTGGGGGCGGAGGGAGTGCGGACATTGCCACAGCTTGCTACCAACGACTGGTAAGGCCCTTCCTCCATTCCACCCCAACCGCGCCCCCCACTGCTGCATGGCTGGGGGAGCAATGCAGGGAAGGAGGGAGTGCGGACACTGCCACACCTTGCTACCAACAACTGGTAAGCGCCTGCCTCCAGGCTTCACTCTACTAGCCGCCTCTAGGCTTCTCTCTCTCTCTACTAGCCGCCGCCTCCTCTCTCCTGCAAGCCCGCTCTGTCACCTCCGCCTTCCACCCCAACGGCGCCCCCCTGCTGCCCCACACGGCTGAATGGCGGGCAGAGCACTGTGGGGACAGAGGGAGTGCGGATATCACCACAGCTTGCTACCAACGACTGGTAAGCGCCTGCCTCCAGGCTTCTGTCCACCCCAACCGCGCCCCCCGTCTGCCCTACTCCGCTGCATGGCGGGTGGAACACTGCAGGGAAGGAGCAGGAGTACTCAAGCTTTCCCTCCCCTCCCATTCCTTGCCCCCTTCCCCCCCACCCCTCTAACTCCTCCCAGCTAGCAGAGCTTTTTCTGCTTGCAGACGCCCCTTCCCTCATCTTCACTCACAATTCGCCCGCCTTCTCATTCGTTGTGGCGCGCGGGTCAACACGGCAATCCCAAGGTTAAGCAGAGGCACTCAAGCTCTCCCTCCTTCCTCTCCTTCCTTGCCCCCTTCCCCCCCACCGCAACCCCATCCAGCTAGCAGAGCTTTTTCTGCTTGCAGACGCCCCTTCCCTCATCTTCACTCACAAGTCGCCCGCCTTCTCATTCGTTGTGGCGCGCGGGTCAACACGGCAATCCCAAGGTTAAGCAGAGGCACTCAAGCTCTCCCTCCTTCCTCTCCTTCCTTGCCCCCTTCCCCCCCACCGCAACCCCATCCAGCTAGCAGAGCTTTTTCTGCTTGCAGACGCCCCTTCCCTCATCTTCACTCACAAGTCGCCCGCCTTCTCATTCGTTGTGGCGCGCGGGTCAACACGGCAATCCCAAGGTTAAGCAGAGGCACTCAAGCTCTCCCTCCTTCCTCTCCTTCCTTGCCCCCTTCCCCCCCACCGCAACCCCATCCAGCTAGCAGAGCTTTTTCTGCTTGCAGACGCCCCTTCCCTCATCTTCACTCACAAGTCGCCCGCCTTCTCATTCGTTGTGGCGCGCGGGTCAACACGGCAATCCCGAGGGCTTGAGGGGGCGTTCAGAGTGGTGCAGCCGGCGCTGTGTGCTGCTGCGTGCCCCAAACCGCTGCTGGAGAATAAATTCGCCCAACACATGATCGTAGATGGTGAGTGGACTTTTGAGTCGACTCAAAAGGCAATCCTGAGCGCTAGGGGAGGCGTTCAGAGTGGTGCAGCCGGCGCTGTGTGCCTCTGCGTGCCCCAAACCGCTACTGGAAAATAAATTCGCCCAACACATGATCGTAGATGGTGGGTGCAAGGGGAGTGGATGGGGAGTGAGGGGAGTGTATGCGTTGGGGTGCTTGAGAGTAGGAGGCGGTCGATTCGTCAGACGCATGATCGCCGGTCAACACGGCAATCCCGAGGGCTGCAGGGGGCATTCCGCGTGGTGCAGCCGGCGCTGTGTGCCTCTGCGTGCCCCAAACCGCTGCTGGAGAATAAATTCGCCCAACACATGATCGTGGATGGTGAGTGCATGGGGAGTGGACTGTTGAGTGGACGTTTGAGTCGACTCGAAAGGCAATCCCAAGGGCCAGGGGAGGCGTTCAGAGTGGTGCAGCCGGCGCTGTGTGCCTCAGCGTGCCCCAAACCGCTGCTGGAGAATAAATTCGCCCAACACATGATCGTAGATGGTGGGTGCATGGGGAATAAGTGAGGGGAGTGAGGGTAGTGAGGGGACTGTGTGTGTTGGGGTGCTGGGAGAGTAGGCGCTCGATTCGTGAGATGCATGAGCGCAGGCAGGTCAGTGCGGCAATCCCGAGGGCTCCAAGGGGCGTTCAGAGTGGTGCAGCCATCGCTGTGTGCTGCTGCGTGCCCAGAACCGCTCTTGGAGAATAAATTCGCCCAACACATGATTGTGGATGGTGAGTTGACTTTTGAGTCGACTCAAAAGTCAACTGAGTGGATGGTGAATGGATGGTGAATGGATGGTGAATGGATGGTGAATGGGTGGTGGGTGGATGGTGGGTGGATGGGGAGTGAACTGTTAACGTGCCCTGCAATGCCCTGGACTGCCCTCGAATGCCCTCTAGTCATCCCCCCACCCCCCTTCTCTAAACCTCTCTAACATCTGCTCTGATGAAAAAACTTGATTCTTGAATCAGATCCTCCTCTTTCTGTCCTCCTCCTCTTCCGCCCCACCCCCTCCTCCTCTCCTTTCCCCCGCAGAGTCCCTCAAGGCCCTCTGCTGCGCGCTGCCCAAGGTGGGCAACACAAGTCATGACTTGGACCCTCCTCTTCCTGTCCACATCCCCCTCCCCCTCCCCCTCCCCCTCCCCCTCCCCCTCCCCCCTCCTCCCCAGAGTCCCTCAAGGCCCTGTACTGCGCGCTGCCCAAGGTGGGCAACACAAGTCATGACTTGGACCCTCCTCTTCCTGTCCACATCCCCCTCCCCCTCCCCCCTCCATCCGCCAGAGTCCCTCAAGGCCCTGTACTGCGCGCTGCCCAAGGTGGGCAACACGAGCTGGAAGCATCATGAAAAAGGCCCTCATATCTTGCCTTTGCACTCCCTCCTCTCGTCCCCCCCCTCCCGAGTCCCACGAGCGGGAAGCATCATGAAAACCGCATTCAGCTCTTCATCTCCTCCTCGCTCTGCCCCCTTCTCCCCACTCCCAGAGTCCCTCAAGGTGCTCTACTGCGCGCTCCCCAAGGTGGGCAACACAAGCTGGAAGCTCTGGTTCCGCCTCATGAAGCTTCGTGGAAACTACTCCGAGTTTCACTCTTTCAACAAGACCAGCTCTGACAACAACGCGGGTTCTTCTGCGAATGGGACGGCCGCAGCAGATGCTGGGGTTGGGGGAACAGCAGCAGCAGAAGGGACAGCAGCACCAGCAGCAGCAGCAGCAGCAGCAGCAGCAGCAGCGTCAGAGCCAGCAGCAATAAACATAACGACCGAGGATTTCAAGATGATTCACCTGCGTGGGCTGAACGGACTGACGGAACTCCCAGATTTCCACGAGGAAGCGGCCATCCGTTTCATCACGCGGCGGGACGTGTTCCGATTCACGTTCGTGCGCAACCCTCTCACGCGCGCCACGTCAGCGTTCCTCGACAAGTTTGTGCACGCGCGAAATTTCACGAATGAGGGCGATGCGCGGCTATATTGGGCGGACGCCATGTTTGGGCAGACCAAGCTGCTCAAGAAGATGTTAAAAGAGCACCCCACGGGTGAATTCTCGTTTGCGGAGTATCTGGTTCTTGTGGAGGAGGCTCTTAAGGGGGATGCTGATAAGATCGAGAATCACATTGACAAGCAGGTAAGGCCCTTGGGGGGGGGGAGAGGGGAGGTGGGGGGTGGTGTGATAGATGGTGATGCATAGCGTTCCTGGACAAGTTTGTGCACGCGCGGAACTTCACCAATGAGGGCGATGCGCGGCTGTACTGGGCGGACGCCATGTTTGGGCAGACCAAGCTGCTTGGGAAGATGCTTAAGAACCCCACGGGTGAATTCTCGTTTGCCGAGTTTCTGGTTCTTGTGGAGGAGGCTCTTAAGGGGGATGCGGATACGATCGAGAATCACATTGACAAGCAGGTGAGGATGCTGGGTTGCTTTGAGGCTGATGGGTGGTTGTGATAGATGGTGATGCTTGGTGGGTGTTTGCTAGTCATGAATGGAACACGGCTAACATGTTTCATGGGCCATCCCAATCCGTCCCACTGAATCCAGCTTCAGCTACTCACCCAGTCACTCCCCTCTCCTTCAACCCCCACAGGTCGACCTCAGTGCTTTGGATCGCTTCATTCCCCCTCAATTCCTGCATGAATCTTTCCCTCTCGAATCCAGCTCGTTTCTCCTTATCTCTCCTGATTCCCTCTCCTGCTTCCCTGCAGATCGACCTCTGTGTGTTGAATCGCGTGCACTACGGCTTTGCGGGTTGCTTTATCGATCCCTGCTGAAGTTTTCCTTTCTAGATTCCTCCAAGTATCTCTTCATCGCAGCTCGTTCCCTGCTTCCTCACCCCTCCAGATCGACCTCTGTGCGTTGGATCACGTGCATTACGACTTTGTGGGTCGCTTCGAGAACATGTCTGCTGACGTGGCAGCAGTGATGCGTCAGCTCAACACGTCAGATCTTGGGATCTTCCAGAAGGGCAAGTCCCTCCAGCTCACAGGCGCGGACCAGCGTTCGGCACAGTTGTACGATAAGGTGAGTGCTCAGTGCTGCCATTCCCATTTGATGAGGTGAGTGCTCCGTACAGCCTTCTGCTATAAGATGAGCCTTGGGATTGTCCAGCAGAAGGGCAAGTTCCTCCCCAGCTCACAGGCGCGGACCAGCGTTCCGCGCAGTTGTACGATAAGTTGAGTGCTCTGTGCTGCCTTTCCCATTTGATAAGGTGGGTGCTGTGTGTTGCTAAGTGCTTTCTTCCAATCAGATAACCCGAGTGCGTTGGTCAGTCTGCATCGCTCGTAACACGACAGCGTGGATACTAACTGGTTCGGTTTCGTCAATTCCATTCATATTCTCTCAAAATGTTCTTGTTGCCTCCCCTTCCCTCCATCGGATTCGACGGTCCAGGACTCATTGGAGCGGGCGAATCGGATTTACAGCGACGACATGAGCATTCCCTTCAACGCCATTCGCTACGACATTCCTGAGGCCCTCAAGCAGGTGGCCGCTCGGGAAAACGACACGCGAACACCGGCAACTGCAACCTCTAGAAAACTCCGAATTCTCGAGTCTCCGCGTTGAACGCCATTCGCCACGACATCCCCGAGGCCGTCAGGCGGTTCGGTGCTCAAACTGACGCGCCAACAGCCACGACCACTAGATAACGTCGAGGGACCGAGCGACATTCCGGTATCAACGCGACCCGAGGCTCTCAACTCAGGAGCACGGTGCGCTTGGCTGGACTGACTGACTCGTTCGGACAAGCCACAAAGCACTGCTGATAAGGGCGAAGTCAGGTTATACGATTCTCATGCGTTTACAGTTCTTGTTTTGTGGTTCAGGATGGTCCAGCACGGTGAAAAGCGGTTCTCGCCTTGTACCGCTCTGCACCGTGTTGAAACAAAGTTAACCGCTGTAGGCGTACAAAAGGTTGTACAACCTGACGTCGCCCTAACCCGGACAACTCCTAGGTGATACCAGAAAATACCAAACCGATACAGGGCCATTCGCCACTGCTTTGTGATGCCCAACGTTGATCAATGTACAAAATTTTGCCATGGACACACAAATGTTTCCACCTTTTTAAAACGAGGGTCTATATTTGACAAGCGGGGGTTCAGAAGTTTTTGTTTTGAACCAGGCTTGCCAGCGCGAAAGTGTTGGCTAACGAAATCCTGGATTTCGTGCGGACACTTTTCCTCCGCAGTAGCAGTTCGCCAGGGTTTTGGGTTTCGGGTGGCAAATGTGCACCGTCGCTCTAATATGTTGGAGCCCAGCATGTTCACCCACCACTGACTTGGCATTCTCTCCGCTTGAAATCTGTAATGGGGCGTTTTCATCTACCCTTATCACCAGGGCCTGTGCTAGGATTTAGGGCACCGTGAGCCCTCAGGGCAACTTTTGAAAACTCTCCAAAATGCCCTGATTTTTCAGGGCAAAATTTCCTGGCAATCCTGAAATTTCAGGGCACCAGCAGAAATTCATCCGGATGTTTCAGGGCAAAAAAATACAAGACACTAGAGTGGAGGGGAAGCCACGAGAGGAGCAGGTTGTTCAGTGGTTTCACTACAATGGGCTGAGCAAAAACCTTGGGGGGGGGGGACAAAACTAGCACACACACCCCCGAGCCTCCCTCCTCCCCTCTCCCCCTCTCCCCCCCTCCCCTCCACCCCTTCTTCCCCTTCTCATGAGTCAGGGCATCCCTCTACATTCACCCTAACGCTTCAGGGCAAAATCTCACTGCCATTCTGAAATTTCAGGGCAAAACACATGAATCATCCTGACGTTACAGGGTAAATTTCATCGTCATTCTGAAATTTCAGGGCAAACTTAAAACACCATCCTGAAATCAGGGTAATCAGGATGTTTTGCCCTGATATCGTGGGCCCTGCTTATCACTTACGTAATGCACACTGCTTTTGGAGGGTCTCTACAGAAACTGGGGTTTCAAATTTCATGCTGGTCGGTGCTTGAAAAAATCAGCCTCACAAATGCTGCACTGGTCTCATTCACAAAGGAGCTTTGGCAACTCCAGGATTTCTGGAGCCCTCCAAGCCTCATACTGCCGAACCATTTCATACAAGCCAAACTTGGCCTCTACATAGCTCCACCCCTACACAATCATAATTCCCCCTGCAGGCTCTACATAGCCTGAGCCCGTGCCAGCACCTGCAGCTTCAGCAGGCCCCGTGCCTCAAACCGCCAAACCATCTCATATCATAGACCCATCTTGGCCACTATCTGGCAAAAGAGTCAGAGCCTCTCCCAACCACTCATTACTGTCACACTCACAAATCGCCCTGCAGGCACTCCTGTAGAGCCTGGGCCCGTGCCTCGTACCGCCGAGCCATCTCATATGACAAGCCCACCTTAACCGCTATTTGCCGAAGGGTTAAGACAACCCCCATCTCCTCAGCAGAATCACTATCACAAATCCCCCTGAAGACTCTCCTGCAGCGCCTGGGCTCGTGCCGGCACCTGCAGCTTCAGCAGGCCCCGTGCCTCGTATCGCCGAACCATCTCATATGACAGACCCATCTTGGCCGCTATCTGCCGAAGGGTTAAGACCTCCCCCACGCCCTCGCCGTCCTTGCCGCCCAGCCCGAAGCGCCACCTCAGCACGGTGGCCTCGTGTGGGTGTAGCGTGTCAAGCTGCGAGTGCAGGGGAAGGTAATCAATCGGGGAAGAGGAATGAAAGCTTAGATTAGCAGAGGCAGATGGAAGAAAGAGAACAGAGTGCCCACGAAAGACCATCACCTCAGCACAGTGGCAGTGTGTGTGTGTGTATCGTGCCATGCTCTCACATGTGACCACGTATGCTCTCACATGTGATCACGCATGCTCTCACATGTGATCACGCATGCTCTCACATGTGACCACGCATGCTCTCACATGTGACCACGCATGCTCTCACATGTGATCACGCATGCTCTCACATGTGACCACGCATGCTCTCACATGTGATCACGCATGCTCTCACATGTGATCACGCATGCTCTCACATGTGACCACGCATGTTCTCACATGTGACCACGCATGCTCTCACATGTGACCACGCATGCTCTCACATGTGATCACGCATGCTCTCACATGTGACCACGCATGTTCTCACATGTGACCACGCATGCTCTCACATGTGACCACGCATGCTCTCACATGTGATCACGTATGCTCTCACATGTGATCACGCATGCTCTCACATGTGACCACGCATGCTCTCACATGTGACCACACATGTTCTCACATGTGACCACGCATGCTCTCACATGTGACCACGCATGCTCTCACATGTGATCACGCATGCTCTCACATGTGACCACGCATGCTCTCACATGTGACCACACATGCTCTCACATGTGACCACACATGCTCTCACATGTGACCACACATGCTCTCACATGTGACCACGCATGCTCTCACATGTGACCACGCATGCTCTCACATGTGACCACACATGCTCTCACATGTGACCACGCATGCTCTCACATGTGACCACGCATGCTCTCACATGTGATCACGCATGCTCTCACATGTGACCACACATGCTCTCACATGTGACCACGCATGCTCTCACATGTGACCACGCATGCTCTCACATGTGATCACGCATGCTCTCACATGTGATCACGCATGCTCTCACATGTGACCACGCATGCTCTCACATGTGACCACGCATGCTCTCACATGGCTTTATGTTGGCTCTTCTCATATGCTAGCTCGGAACCAAGCTGCAATTTCCAAACCCCAACACCACTGCCACCACCGCTTACCTCATCCCACACCCTATCACTCCCACCTTTCCACACTGCTACCCTACCACCACTGCTTACCGCGGCAACAAGGGCTGCTCGTGTGTGCCCCAGTGCGCCTCCCTGCACACTCATGCTGCTTTCCCGAAGCTGCCAATACCTGGAAAGCCATAAATCCTACAGCCCATCCCACCAACACAACTGCGTACCACGGCAACAAGGGCTGCCCGTGTGTGCCCCAGTGCGCCTCCCTGTGCACTCATGCTGCTCCCCACACCGCCATCACCACTGGCACCACCAACAGCAGCAGTTGCAGCGGTTGCAGGAGCACCAGCAGCACCAACACCAGCAGCAGTTGCAGCAGCAGTTGATGCAGAAAGAGCAGCACTGGTAGTGGCAGGGCCTGTGGCAACCAAGCCACCCTCACCACCATCCGTACTCGCTATAGTGTCCTCCAGTGCAAGCCCTGTGACCCGCGACGCGGCGTGCAGGGAGACGGGGCGCGTGACGAGAGGGGCGGCAAGGGCGGCACGGCACTGGGCGGCAGAGAGGCCGGCCTCTGCTGCCACCTCTGCTACAGTGGCCTTACGGCCTAGTCGGTTCTCCACTGCTGCTCTTGCCTTGCGCACTGAAATGAGGGTCTGCGGATGGGGGGAAAGTTGAATGGGGGGAAAGAGAGAAGGAGGGGACCGGGGGGGGGACAGGGGGAGGAATTTAAAGAGGCGATTCAAGACAACGTACCTTGAGAGGAATGGGGGAAACTGTGAGGAATAGAAGCAAGTTGAGAGATTGTCGAGACATGATATGCACGAGCAAGGCACGAAGTGCTTCTGCCTCCCCATACTCCACTGCTGCTGTTGCCTTGCGCACGCTCACACCCTCACACCCTCATGACTCACACCCTCGCACCCACATGCAATCACACTCACACCCCCACACCCTCGCACCCCCACACCCTCGCACCCCCACACCCTCACACCCTCAAGCACTCACCATGGAGATCCTAGCAGGCGGGCGGACATCACATCTGAGAATTTTTAAAAGTGATTTCCATATAGCTGACTCACACCCTCAAGCACTCACACCCTCAAGCAATCACCATGGAGCTCCTAGCAGGCATGTGGACGAACTGAGTTGAAGGAATGGCGCGGATTATCGCTGTCCTGACAGCATGCGTGGCGAAGGTGGAGAAGCGCAGGTGCCTGGCAGGGTCAGCGCAGCCAGTCTCCACTTCTGAGACGTCTCAAAAGTCGCCTGGCGGGGTCAACGCAGCCAGTCTCCACTGCAATACCCTTACAGCACCCTCGGAACACCCCACAACCCTAAACCCGAAACCCTGAGCTCCTAGCGGGCATGTGGACAAACTGCGTCGACGGTATTGCACGAATGATGGCCGTGCGGACAGACGCACACTCACAACACGCTCACACTCTCACGCACTTACCATGGAGCTCCTAGCAGGCATGCGCACGAACTGAGTGGAGGGAATAGCACGTATGATTGCTGTGCGGACAGCGTGGGTGGCAAAGGTGGAGAAGCGCAGCTTCCTGGCGGGATCAAAGCGGCGGGCCGCTGTGGTGAGACCCTCGAGGCCGCGCTGACAGATGGCGACGAAATCGGCTCCCGTGGAGAGGCGGAACGATTGAGCGATGGATAGCACGAGGCGAAGGTTGTGCTGCAACAGGTGAGGAATAGGCAAAAGGGGAGGGGGGAAAGGAAGGAAGGGGGGCCGGGAGGGGGGAAGAGATGGGGAGAGGAGTGGGGGAAGGGGGACGTCTGGTGCGAGAAAGCCAGCAGGGTATGCCAGCAGGGAAAGCCAGCAGGGAACTGAAGCCGTGGTGTGGTGAGGCCCTCAAGAGCATGCTGGCAAACAGTAACAAAGTCGGCTCCAGTCCAGTGGAGAAGCGGAAGGAGTGGGCTACTGAAAGCACGAGATGCAGGTTTTGCTGCGAGTGGAGGCAGAAGGCATGAAGGGGATGGGAGGAAACGAACAGGAATGTGGGGCAGTGGTGAGGTTAGGCCCTCTAAGCCACTCTGGCAGACAATGATGAAGTTGGCTCTGGTGGAGAGGTGAAAGGAGTGGGCTATGGAGTGCATGAAATGCAGGTCGTTGTCGTTTTGATGGATTGTAAACGTGGGGTGAGCGAAAGAGAAGAAACACGGGAAGAAGGTTGAAGGGAAGGCACCGGCAGGAAAGAGGGGAAGAGGGTGGGTGGGAGGGAAGGAAGGAACAGAGAAATCAGGGGAAGTGGGTGAGAGAAAACACCAGACCATTCTCTCTGCATTCACTATCACCACTCTACTAAACCCACCAGCACCATTCTCCACCAAACATTCCCACTCTGCACTCACCAGAACGAGCTTGGTTCGGGCAGCCTGAGCGGCGAGCAGTTGTCGGTGCAGCTGCTTGGGAGTCAGATTGCAAAGCACTGCCCATTCCGCATGCGACAGCACATGCCGCTGCTGCTGCTGCTGCTGCTGCACATGCTGCTGTTGTTCCGATTGTGCGATGCTCGCATCAGCTTCTCCATATCCGTCTGCTTCCCCATCCCCACGCGCATCTGCGAAGCCCTCAGCAACCTCACGAGTTGCATTAACTTCACGACCAGATGAGGCTGTTGCTGCTGCTACGGCTGCCGAGCCTGACGGCTTAGCAGTGGCTGCAGCAATCTTAGCTCGCTCCTCCAGTTCCTGGAAAGAGGATACGTGAGAATTGGTGAACGAGAAAAGAGGTTTTGTGACGTCTTGATGCGAATAAATACACTGGACGGAAGGAAACATAGAGGTGGAGCGATAACTATGGCTGCTATAGGGAGCGCAGGGAGGCAAAGGATGGCGATTGGGGAGCAATAATTGGATGCAATAGAGCTTTATTACTATAATGTGTTCTAGGAGGGTGCTGAGGCTGTGGATGCCTAGCATGTGAAAAGCTAAGTGCAATGGCGTGGTTAGTACCTCAATCTGTCACTCAAGATGCCCCAATCACAGCTAGATGCCCCAATCACAGCTAGATGCCCCAATCACAGCTAGATGCCCCAATCACAGCTAGATGCCCCAATCACAGCTAGATGCCCCAATCACAGCTAGATGCTCCAATCACAGCTAGATGCCCCAATCACAGCTAGATGCCCCAATCACAGCTAGATGCCCCAATCACAGCTAGTCGACGCACTACCTTGATCCCCCTCATCGCCCAATACTCACACCCACCACTCACATTCCCGCGCTGTATCAGTTCGGCCAATCGTAGCTCCTCTTTCGCCGGCAGTAACGAGCGCGGCTGCGTCCAATCAACGTTCATCGCTGTTTCACCCCCGCCATAGTCACGAATCAGCGCATCCACCTCCTCCTCGCTCATCGTGATCCCCTCAGCCGCTTCCCCGCCCGCGGAACCTCTTCTCGCTCCGCCACTTCCTTTAACGCGCGGGGAAGCTGAAGCGGCTTCCGCCTCCGCTTCCGATTCCACTTCCGCTTCCGCCTGCCAATCTTCAGCCATTCCCAGCGCGTTTCCGCTCATCCGCAAGCCCATTGCGAGCGCGGCTGCGCGCAACCTCCTCCGCATCGCCCGCCTCCGCGCTGCAGGATCCATTTCCGCCACGGTTCCGCCCACATCGGTTTCCACCTCCGCCACCACCCCTGTTGGCAGCTTCGTCGCAGAAGCGGACAAAAACCGCTGTCCCTTGACAAGTTTCCGCCTGGCGACGCGCCCGGCATCGCTGGGGCTGAGATTCCACGCGGCCTCGAGCTGCTCGCGCACTTCCCGCGTGACTTCTAACCGCGCCGCGTCGCCGTCATGATCGTTGTCAGAGCTCTTCGAAGCCTGCGACGACGACGACGAAGATGACGACGCAAAATCAGCGTCATCTAGTCGCACGAGGAACGCTGCGACCTCTGCGACGAGCGACAGACCCGTCGCAGAGGGGTCGAGCTTCATGAAGGGAGCACCAGCAGCAGTGTCATAAGGATTAGAAGCGTTATCTACCTGCTGGTTTGATAAGCGTTTAAGCAAATCTTCATCGGTTAAGGCCAATTCGTCTGGGTTCGAACCGGTCCTGCGCTTTCTCTGCCTTCTCGTTCTCTTCTCCCCGGAACCTGCAGCTGCTGCGGTACTGATGCTCGTCGCCGGCGGCGACTCGAGTGATACGGCCACGGCGACCGGCGATGTGGCCACAGTCCGCTTGGCGGAAGAGAGCGTTCGAGAGTGAATTTTCTCAAGGAAACCATGATCATGATGGTTCTTGGAATTCCTTTTCAGAGAGTTTCGTGACGTCTCAAAACTAAGCGAATTTCTGTGGCCGACTCTAAATCCGCCAGGTTTCCCGCCGCTGATCAAGGACAGGCTGTGATTTATTGCTACTCGGTGATGACGTGGCCGCGAGGGTGTGAGAGCGGAGGAACAGACGATTGGGGAGCTCGACGCGACATGCGCCGCCATGAGGGAAGTTTCGAAGAATCTTACAAGAGATGCAAACCGAAATTTGAGTCGGCAATGTCTGGTGCTGGAGCAGGTCTAGACTCCACTACAATACTTCATAAGTGAAATCTCATATGGCCGAAGGCACAAGCGGGAAACAGCTTCTGCAGTGAATGCTGCTTGTGCTCATGTGTGGTCGAGAAACTCAGTGATAGCAGCTTATCTCTGACGAACAGGACAATGAGAGTGTCAGGAAGGTGACGGAGCGTCAGGAACGGTACGCAACGTTGTAAAAGAAATTACCTTCGGTTCGATGAGATGTCAAACTTCTGCTCCAGCCATTCTATTCACATTCAGCGTTTACTTGAGAGAAGTTGGAGAGATTAGGCGTCAGGCTCTTGGGGGAGAACGACGTATTGCCCGTCGCAGATTGGTGGACCTGCGTCCGCGCTGCGGTGGTGGCATTCTCGAAAAGCTCGAGGCGGCGTGGCGAAAAGCCCGATGGACACGCAAGCAGAACGGTGCAGAGTGCGGTTGAGCTGACCTGGGAATGACGAGGCACGTGGAGCGGATTGGATGGAAGCAATTTTGGTTGTGTGGCGCGAAGAGTCTTCGAGAATGTCGAGGACAACTCCAGCCAATCGAAGCGCGTCGCTTCGAACATGTACCTCAACCACGCCAATGTGACGAACAGGAAGGAGTGACTGCAAAAGCTCGTTCTACCAACTAAGTAATTTTTTCGGAAATGTTACATGGCAACGAAGCAAACTATGCGAAATTGGCCAGAACCTGAATAAAGAATTTCAAATATGAGTAATGACAACAATCCTGCTATACCCAGCAAGCTATGGTCCAGTCCCCAAGAAGGGAACTTCCTAGCATAAGCACTAATCCCCGTCATGCGGCAAGCTATCCTCTCCTTCGATTCCACCCTTAATAAAAACCCATTTCATTCCTGCTACTCCGTTGGCAGGCCACTCACACCCTCTTCCTCCAATCCCATCTTCTCAAGAGCATCCAACAGCCCCTTGCTAAGAGGCCGCTCTCTTACAATCCCCCTTCCTCCTCCCTCCTTCCCCTTCACAGCCCCCTCTCCCTCCTCCGCCTCCTCATCCTCATCGTCGGACCTTCTCAGCGCCCACCCGCCCCTCCGCCTGCTCCCAGGCGTTCCAACATTTACTTGCGTGGACCAAGGCGGAGACTCCCCACCACTTCTTGACTGGCGTTGACTTGCAGGTGTGCGTAACGGAGTGCTGACAGCACTGCCAGCGCCGATACTACCAGCAACGGCTGGGATCTCATCCTGATAGCGAGAAACTGGCGGCGCACCGTGGTCGGGGGCTGGGGAGGAGAGCGCCCGCGGGCTGCGCGCCCGGCGCATGGGGGAGGGGGAACGGGGGCGCAGGACGCGCGGCCCTCCCGTTCCAGCGGCGGCGGAGTTTGGCGCGCGACGGTTTGCGGGGGGGATCCCCGCGGGGAGCGCGGGGGAAGAGAGCTGGGAGGCGAGTGAGGAACGCAGCCGGCGGGTTGTGGTTGCAGAGCCGCCTTCATCAGCGGCATCGTAATGACGTTGCTGTGAGCCACGATGCTGCAGCAGGGACCAGGACACAGGAGATTAGCAAGGACGAACGGTCAGATTGGATAACAAGAAATCGACTGGAAACAGGGGAACTTTGAGATTGCGCTGATCTACTTCAATCGTGTTTAACCCCATACTCTCTCACCTCGCGAATAGCGTTAATAGCAGCTAGCAGTCCCGCGGGGTCCTTCCCCAGCACAGCGCCGATCTTTCCGCCAACCTGCCACTTGGCGCGGCTCCGCCTCCCCGTTCCGCCTTCCGCCAATACCCCTCCCGCGGATCCCACCACACCGCCGATCGACGACGTGGAGCGGGGAATGGGAGACCTAGCGCGCGGGATGGGGGAAGTGGCGCAACGGACGAGTGCGGGAGCAGGAGCGGGTGCTTCCTCGGGGGAGTTGTGCGGCGTGGGCGCGGCGTAGAGGCTCAGCGATGACGTCAGCGTCGCCGAGCCCTTAACGGCGGACATGACGGTAGGCGAAGCAAGAACGGCCGCTCTGCGACGACGGAGAGGAGCCACGGCCTGCGGAGTAAGGTCGCACGGGTCGCACAGGTCGAGGTGTGCGAAATCTTCGCCGCTGCCGCCGTCGTCGCCAGCGACATCTCCATACGTCGCAGAGATCGGTTCTTGGATGCTGAAGCAGCGCTGTATGTTGTGCTGCCTCGTCAGCGTCGCCTGGCTGCACGGCGATGTGACGCCATTCCAATTTGGCGTGCTGCTCTGCCTCGTCAGCTTCGACCGGCTCTTCGCGACAATCTCGGGGGTCTCCTCTTGGCACGGCGTTGAGAGAAGCAGCTTTGACACCTCGCTCCGAAGAGCTTCAGCGCCGTCATCATGTGCTCCATCGCCGGATTCGACCAGTCGCGATCCTTTAGAAGTCAAAGGTGCAGGAGTGCACGGATCAGCAGGCACGACGGGTGGCTTCGTAGGAAGCACAGCCGCATTTAACGGAGAAGCCTGAGTAGGCTTGCTGGAGGCAGTGAGCTCGGCTGACGTGTCGTTGGTGACGTCAGATAGAGCAGGTCGCGGTCGAGGATTTCTCGCAGGCTGTCGCTTAGAAGTTGTTGGCTTTCGCTGCGTTGGCATGGGTGTCGTCGTTCCTGCAGTAAATAAGAGTACATATTAGGTTTGCGAATTCGGAATACGGAATTTTACATAAACAGAGAGCGGAAGGAACAGAAGGGAAGGCGAAAAAATGAAGCTGGAAGCGGCCAGCAGGTGCTGCTAACCTGGCGGGACGGGACTGGAGAACAACTGAGCTCGGGCCCGGCTGCGAGTACGCACGCCCAGTACGGGTGTATCCACGGCCATCGCAGTTAAAATACTTTATGATGAATCTGTTTTGTGAGCGTCGCGAGAAATTTTCTTGTTAGTAACGGACTCAGTCGTAGCGCTGACAAAGTTAGGAGATTTCCTTACTAACCTTAAAACTACCGTTAACGAAATTTTTCTAGAGCCAAAACGAGCAAGTACTACTAGGCAACTACCAGAATGAAGAACAAGGCAAGGGCTAAGGTCTGAATGAGCTAGCGCGAGTTATCGTACTCAAGCAGGTAGTCTAGTCGCAAGGCCAAGAATTGGCTGCTATCGAATTCTGAAGCAGGCTATTGCAAGTGAAAGGCTGGGTGGGAAAGTAAAGAGCAGACAGGCAGCAGCACCCAAGCGTGGAACGGACAACGACGAATTCTACTCATGCTCCAATGACCGTTCGATTGTGAGCGTGAATGGTGGGATCAAATTTTCTGACGGCCACGATGAGTTGCTTCTGTTCATGGGTGAAGGGAAAGACCTCTCTGATGGTTTGTCTTGCCGCCATGCCGTTTGAATTTGAAGCGAAAAGCGAAATCCTTCCCCGCCGCGCGCGCTGTGACTGGAACTGCAAACGGCTCGGACCAAAAACTTAGGGCGCGTGAGGTCTTTGAAATCTGTAAAAGTTTATGTTTTTAGGGCGAATTTTAGTTTAGAACTTACAATGAAAGAAGTTAGAATTTCCTTCTATCTAAGTTAGAACATCGGGCTTACCACACTCTAAAAAATCACACACGCATACAAGGTCAAACCCCGACATTCTAACTTGTAAAAACGAGCCGAGCCGCACGTCAACATCATAGGTTACCCGGTTCGCTCGTCTTGACGGTGCGCCACGTCAACATTTTGCGCCTCGGTTTACAAGGACCTAGAGCTCCAACTCACCTTCCGTGCCGAGTGTGTAGGGAAACTATATTCCAGGTCCATACTTTCAGATTTCTCTCAAATTTAGCCGCGGGTTGACTCAAAAAGTACTACTTTCTAGATTTTCGCTCACGCGAGGCCCAAAGTATGTTCAAAACTGGTCTTGCGGGGCGAAGTTTTCGGCACGTGTCCAATTTCGCTTTGTGTTGGAATTAGGAGGTCGCTAGAGTAGCGGAAATACTCTAGGAAATAACGACGTCCCAGCGGTGGGGCTATGGTCACTCAGAGGTAGCTCTCCTGGCTTGTAACTTGGTTCCAAAGCGGCGGCCGAGGGTAGGCCGGACACAAGCTTGAGAATTGTGT